ACCGTTAGGTGGTGCTGGGTTTTCAGCCTGGGCGTCCCCAGGTCAGTGACGGTGATGGTGATGTTGTACTCGGCCTGGCTCTCTCTGTCCAGCGCCCCATTTGTCACCAGGGTATAGAAATTCTCTACTGATGGCTTCAGGACGAAGGGGAGATGGTCTTGGACGGAACACACCATCTTTGCATTGTTCCCTGAATCTCTGTCTCTAATCCTAAAGACAGCTACTACTGTCTCTGGTGAGTTTTCTGCAATTGGGCTAGTAAGTGACGACATGAGCAGTTCCGGTGGATTATCATTTACATCTGTTACATGGACCACCACAGTACATTTTCCAGAAAGCCCTCCACCATCTTTGGCCTGAATAGTTAATGTATAAGTTTGTATTGCCTCGTAGTTCAATTCAGCTTTAAGATGAAGACTGCCAGATGTTGAATTGATTTGAAACGTTTTGAGAATTCTTTCAGTAGCGTAAAAAAATGCATAGACTATTTCTCCATTACTTCCGGTATCTAGATCTCTAGCTGACACAGCGACAACCAGGGAGCCAACAGGGCTGTTCTCGGGCACCTGCACCTTGTAAAGCGACTCTACAAATTCAGGGACGTTGTCATTTATGTCCAGAACTAGGATGCGTATGAGGGTGGTTCCCGATCTGGGCGGAGAGCCACCATCCAAGGCGGTGAGGGTTAACCTGAGCTCAGGAACCTCTTCACGATCCAGCACTCTATCCAGTACCAATTCGGGATAAACATTCCCCTCCCCACTATCACGGATATTAATATGGAAATAGACATTGGAGTTAATGGTGTAGTTTCTCAGGTTGTTGATTCCAACATCTGAATCCTGTGCACTTTCTAGGAGAAATGTTGCCCCTGGAGTAGTGCTTTCTAATATGTCCAAGGTGATCTCTCTATCTAGAAATACTGGAGAATGGTCATTGATGTCTCTGACCCATAGTTCAGCACGGAAAATCTGAAACGGCTTTTCAAGTAACAACTGGAAAGGCAGCACACACGGCTCTGTGGGGCCGCACAGTTCCTCTCGGTCTAATTTCTCATTTAGAAGCAAATCACCAGTAAGCGGATTGAGGAGTAAAAATCGTATGTTCTCATCTGAAACGATTCTAGATCCCCGAGCTGACAGTTCCCCAGCCCCCAACCCCAGATCAATTGCTAGGTTGGCCAGAAAGGTCCCTCTGTCCGTTTCCTCTGCCACAAAATACCGAAGCGGTTCTGCGCCAGCCCAAGACACTCCCAAAAACACACAAAGAAATAACACTTGCCTTTTCTGCACTGCACGCACCACTCTGGCCTCCATTCTTTGTTTTAGCAATCTTTCAAAACCACGTTCACTCGGCCTCAAGCAGCTCTCAGAAATGGCAGAAACCGAATCCTTAGAAATGAGCTGGATAATAGCAATGCTCGTGGGGAAGAGTCCCACTTTTCCCCAACTCCATCACCACGGTTTCCTTCCCTCTACTTTTCTTGTCTGGCCAGCTTCCCTCTGAACACTGGAAATTCTAACATCCTTTGTGCGGGTATTTCCCCCTCTTTTTAGCCAGCAGCGCCACCTTGCGTTTTGTGGATGTTATTCTCTTTTTCAAGACTAGAACAAAAAGATGGCGGATTAGAGGAACTGCAACAGGAGTGATTTTTTTTCCCCCAAGTGTCTTTGCGGTTTTATTATATCTTTTTCCTCAGATGGTCACGGTAATGTTAGTAGTTTACATTGATTTTCCCTCTGATAGTCTGAATTTTCAGAAAAATAAATTTGTTGTTTTCCTTAATCTGGGAACATGAAATTAAATTCTGCCTTCCCACCAGGAGTAAATCTTAAGAAAGCTTTCCCCAGTTTTTAAATGAGTTCGGTTTGGTGGCTTTTCTGGTGGTACATCTATGACTCTCTTTCCCATTTTACTTTTGGTTTTCGATCTGTCCAGGTTTTAATTTTAAAGTAATTTGTATTTAATTTTATAAGCCATTCATTTTCTCTAGGTTTGCAAAATTCATTCTATTTTTTTTTTATCTTTAGGTATATCCCTATTTGTTAGTAATGTTTAATGTTTTGTCTCCTTTTTATTCTTGGGGAGACTTACAAGGTCTATATTTTGCTGATATTTTAATATGCATTTTTTTCCAAAAAGGTATATGAACTTGGTTCAAAATCAAATATTACTAAGTGGCTTAGAATAAAATACAATTGTTTTCTGCCCTTTCCTTACTTTCCTAGCTCCCTTCCCAATAGCCAGCCACTTTAATCTCTTTGTTATCTCCTCTGCTTTATTCTGTATTCTGCTGTATTTTGATTAATTTTAGACATTATCAATTGACTCCTTATGTTGGATTAGGTTTTAGCTCTTGTACACTTTCAAGGTCGGTTCATGCCTTCCTTTAGTTGCAGTATCATTGGGAATATTATTGTGTACAAATTATATTTTCTTTCTCATTTTTTTCTTGAAGTTAGTAATTGCTTTGCTTTTTCATTTACTTGATTTTCTTTTTAAAATATTTTATTTATTTGAGAGAGAGAGAGCACAAGCAAGAGGGAGAGGGAAAGGAAGAAGCAGACTCTCCGCTGAGTGCAGAGTGGGAAGCTGGGCTTGATCCCAGGATGCTGAGATCATGACCTGAGCCAAAGTCAGACGCTTTACTGACTGAGCCACCCAGGCACCCCTATTTGATTTTCTTTATATTTATCACTTGTTCTTCCCATACCTCCAATTGCTTCCCAGTAGGATTTTCCACATGACCATTCCCATATCTCCTGAGATAGCAATTTTCTTTAAATTGGGTGGTTGTTCTCAAAATGTGCTGCATTGCTATCATCCTGGAACATTTCTTTGCCGTCGTGCTTGGAATTCTGTTTGCCTTTTATTCTGGTTGGATTTCCTATTTCAAGGGTTTTATTTCTTCCTCCTTTTTGGTTAACTCTATGATTTTAATAGATCACATCCTATAATAGTTTCATCTGATTGAGGAGATGTCAGGGGACTTGCTGATGATATCCTCCAAAATGCCTGTCTCTTGAGTTATACAGCTCCAAATTGGACTAGTTTGCCCTTGAGACACAGTTGTCATCATGGGATCATCCTTGAACATCATCTAGAGATTCATTTCACTTCTTTTTTCAATATTCTCTTTTCTGTTTCTTCTGATTTCCTCTCTCTTGGACTACTCTAGCATTTTGATAGATATCTTCTAGTAGTTTCCAGAGAAGAGTGTATGAGAGTTAAATTTTGTTGTGACCTTGAGTGTATTAAAATATCTTTAGTCTACCCTTGAACTTGATTGAAAATTTGATTATAGAGTTCTAGGTTGAAAATATTTTTTCTTCAGAATTTTAAAATATTTTGTCAGTGAGTTCCCAAACCAATGTATTTGTTAAGAACTCTAAGGCAAATCTTATTTTATATCTTCCTGTATGTGACCTGTATTTTTATTTCTTGTAGTATTTTGTCATTGCACCAAGCATTTTCAAATTAAACACTGATGTGTCATGGTTTGAGTTTATCTTCATCCATTGACAATTAGTAAGTTCTTTCTACTAGGAAATTAATTTCCTTCAGCTCTTAGAAATTTTCTTGAATTACTTCATGGATAATTCTTTTGTTTGTTTCTCTCTCTCTCTCAGTTACTACAAATCAGATGTTGAGCCTCTTTACGATCTCTAATTTCCTTATTTTTTTTCTGTTTGTCATCTTAAAATACTTTTTGCAATATTTCCTGGAATATTTTCTTAACTCTACCTTCAAGCTCTTCTTGAGATTTTCATCTCATTATGTTCATATTTTACAAGAGCCCTCTTTGTTAAGAGGATGTTTTCAAGAGAGCCCTCTGTACTTATTTCTCAGATATAGTAACTTCTTTTCTCATCTGATGATATTAATTATAGCTGGTTTTTTTTTTTAGATTTTATTTATTTGACAGAGAGAGACACAGCGAGAGAAGGAACACAAGCAGGGGGAGTGGGAGAGGGAGAAGCAGGCTTCCCGCCAAGCAGGGAGCCCAATGCGCGGAGCTCGATCTGAGGACCCTGGGATCATGACCTGAGCCAAAGGCAGACGCTTAACGACGGAGCCACCCAGGCACCCCTAATTATAGTTGTTTTTTTCAGGTTTTCTTCTCTGCAAACTTTTTCTCCAATTTACCTTCTTTCCTCTTAGCTTGGTTTTTGTTTCTGTTTTTCTTTTTAGAAACTTTCTTCAGGTGTCTCATTCAGGTGTCTGTTCTTAATTTAATTTGGTATACTAAGGAGCTAAGTGATAGCTCTGAGCATGTTGGCAGGGTTTATCCATTTTAATATGTACTCTACGGTGAACTGAGAGCACTTGTAGTTGGGGAAACCCCAGTGTTAGTCTGATTAGGTCTTTCTACTTGGACTGGTCAGACTACTCAACTCTATAAAATCTTCTACCCAAAAGGAAAAGGCATAGATTGAAAAGGTAAAGGATTGATGGGAGAAGAGAGGTGGAGATCTACATCACTCAGGATATGCTAGGTAATGCTTCAGTATCAAACAACTCCAAATCTCAATGGCTTAAGACAATTAAGGTTGATTCCTTTCTTATACTACAATATCCTATACAGTTCAGCATGGAGACCTTACAGTGGTCAGTCAGGGATCCAGGTTTCTGGAGACTCCATCTTCACCTATGCTTTCAGGATCACTATGTTGGAGAAAGTAAATGTGTTAAACCATGTACAGTCTCTGAAAGCTTTAGCATAGAAGTTATATCATTTCTTCTCACATTTTATTGGCTAAAGGAAATTACATGGTCATACATAATTTAAAGAGGAAATATTGATATTCTGCCAGGGGCGCCTGCATGGCTTAGTTAGTTAAGCATCCAATTCTTGATTTCAGCTCAGGTCATGATCTCAGGGTCATAAAATCGAGCCCTGAGTCAGGCTCCACACTGAGCATGGTGCCTGCTTAAGATTCTCTCTCTGCTCCTCCCCCAACCTTGGTGCGCCCATGCTTTCTTGAAGGAAGGAAGGAAGGAAAAAGGAAAGAAAGAAGAAAGTTAATTCTGCCTTGTATCTGAGACAACTGAAACATCTGTGATTGGTCCCAGTGATTATCATAGCGTTTTAACAATCAGTCAGCATTCAATGTTTAGGTGGTCACTTATTTCCACCACCCATATTGCCCTGCCCTCAATTTTTTTGCCAGTGGAACCTCTAATATAATGACTCTCCTTTTTGCGGTCATGAGAAATCAAAACTCCAGGATCAGAGAAATAGGTTGCTCATTGACTGCAGGGGGGAAAAGTGATCTGCTACAGATTTAACCATTTTTCAGGCAATTTTAATATGATCCTCCATATTTGGCACCCTATCATCATTTCCAGAGTATCTAGGGCTGACAGCTCTGATGCTTCTGAAAATCCTGCTGTCTAAATAGGATTGGTTCTCAGCTTTTCCCACTTCAGGATTGGTAGTTGGTTTGTCAGTCTACTAAGTCATTCATCTACTTTCTAGCTACTAAGATTTTTCTCTGTTGTCTTCTACCTTATTCTTTCCATTCTTTTAAGTTTATGTTTTTGAAAATAGCTCTTCATTTTTGTGTAATGCACATTTAGAGGAAGTCAAATTAAAGGTACATATCCAATCCACCAATTTAACTAAAAATAAATACTCTTGAATTTTTCAGAGAAATAGACATGTTTTATTGGTTAAATCTTCTGTGGTTATTATTTTAATTAATTTATGCTTTTATACTTATAATCAGTTTCTTTTATTTTCTTCCTTTTTAAAAATTATTTTTTTAGGGCGCCTGGGTGGCTCAGTTGGTTAAGCGACTGCCTTCGGCTCAGGTCATGATCCTGGAGTCCCGGGATCGAGTCCCACATCGGGCT